GTTTTCAGCTCTCCAATGTGAAATGTCACTTTAAGTTATGGAGTCCTTCCAATGATCAGTAATAACACTTGTGGCCTGACACAGAGACCCTAACTAACTAACTATAGGCCTGGACTCAGTCTCTAGGCGCCAACACTGAAATGAGGTGCGTGCACGATCTTACCGACCCGGGTCTGCTTTGCATCCGCTGGTGACTCTGAGCAGAACAAATGTCTCTCCAACAAGCATGCGGTATTGCAGTGTATGTTGCTTTGTTCCTCTGCTCTCATCAGCATTCCTGGCAGCAATCTTCCTTCCTCTGAACAGGATCAGGGTCTTGGACACGATCAGCTTCACTTAGCTGCAGCTCTGGTTACTGAGGGATGTTCTCACACCTGGATGCCATCAGATTGTCTGCTCACATGGCTCCTGCACTCACCATCCTCCAAAACATGGTTTCTGTCTCTCTCCTTCCTGTTCTCTAAACTCTGTGTGAAAAACCCCACCTCTTCATGAATAGAGAAATATCTATGCAGTCTGAGGCTGTGTTAGGAAAACAGTGGCATCTTGTGGCTAAACCGCAGAAAGCCACTCCAGAACATTGAATTTACGCCACACAATAATTTACTGCACACAAACAGTGTTCAAACAATGAGAGCTGTTTCCCCATCTCACACTGTCAAAACATATAGCTGCTGACTTTTAAAAAAACAGCCACTTGCCTGTCCCTCGGTCCCGCGGTGTCCCCCCCGCAGCCTGTTTCACCGGCCGTCCTGGATTCCAGGAGGCCGGAATCTTCAGTGTGGGCACCCGGTTGTGATAGCTTGCGGCTTCATAGCTGGGTATCCACTGCGCATACGCGCGTAGCGCTGCACTTCCTGAATGGTCCTGTAGTCTTCTGGAACCTGTCACGTGTCCCAAAAGACTACAGGGAGGGAGGGAGGACATCTTCCATTTCCGATCGCCTAGGCGATTGGACCGGAAGTGGGAGCGGGTACCTGTCAAATTCGAAACCCGCTCCCCCTCGCCCCCCAAAGGTGCCAATCCTTAATGGGGAGTGGGGGAGCAGTCCTTAAAGTGGAACTTGCCCTTTTGGGTGGAGCTCCACTTTAAGGATCAGACATATGTACCTTGATCATTCAAGAGTGAAATATTGTATGAAAATATATTGTTGTAGTTGGTGTCTGCAATCAGAAGCATTGAAAGGCCCTTGCACCAGGAGCACTGGCTGCAGGTCTCTAACCAAATGCTCTGGGTCTGGGTCTCAGTCCTGAGGCTACTGTCAACTAGTTAGACAATGTCAATGTGTTAGCTCTTATGTCCTAGGCAGCAAAGCTACAATTGGTGAAACTGCCATTCTGCACAACAGATGCACATACGTTCAGTCTCTTGTGTTGGGCAGGACGTGTATTTGAAGCTTCTGGCACCAGGGGCTCTGGCCAAAGATTTTCCAACCAAGTGCTCTGGGTCTCCGTTCTGAGACTATTACCAATTCGAGAATGTCATAGTGTTAACACTTGTGTTTCAGGGAGCATAGCGACAAAAAATTAAACTGTCATTCTTCACAACAGGAGCATGTACATCCTTGTGTTCTGTTCAGCCTCTAGTGTTGGTCAGAGAGTGCCCTAGGTTTTTCAAAACCCTAACAATGCCACTGCATGTGACTATTACAATGCTTTCACTGAGCAGATATCTACCAGTAAAAAATGCATAATACCTAAAAAAAAAAAAAAAAAAGTGATGAAAATATTCCTGTGTCTATACAGAATGGTGCTCTGTATCTATTTGGTGAATATCTTGTCTTGCATATCAGATGAAAGATCTGCCTATGCATGTAAAGCATGCGGTTGATAAGAAGCTAGGAAGTAGATTATGGCACAGGAGTCAGTGGATTCACCTGCTATATTTAGGAGTTGTCAGTATAGATTACTTAAAGAAATAGTAACACTGTAACATTTAAATCAAATAGCAAACATGATTTTAATTATTTTTAAGTTAATAAAAAAAAATTACAGACAAGACTTTACTGGAAGTTGCTGGTAAAAAGCCAGTTACAGTAATTATATTGCATGCCCCAGCAGCAAAAGCCACATGTTAAAAGGTGTCGCTTGTAGACAGGAAACAACAATATCAAAAGCATACCACAATAAGACATCAAGTCATTTTGAAGAATACTGAAACATTTATAGCTGCAAGTCAGACAGTGCAATATTTGTAAATGATGCATTTTATTTAGTCGATGCAGGTGTGTGTAATAAAAAGGTAAGTAAAAAAAAAAAACAAACAGATTTAAGTGATCAGAGGAACAAATAAATCATTTTTTCATGTTCTACTTTTGCCATGAAGAGTTATAAGGGGTCCTTGTTCTGGGGTGTGTAAGTGTATGTTATTGCAAAGAGCTCCCATTGCCTAGAATGATTCTGAATTAAAACTGAACTCCAGACAAACAGCTAAATACACAGTGGAAATACTTCTATAATAGCTGTCTTACCTGCCAAAGTATCTGTATTTATGTCATCCTGCTCTGATATATACAAACTTTTCTCTGCTGCTCTTAGACAACATGATCAGGTCACCTTCCTGGCCCACAGCCTATGGACAGCAAAGAAGCTGCAACAGGCTGATGAGGTCATCTCTCTCCTGTCAGTATGTTTACTGTCACAATACGTAAAAGCACAACCCCTGAGTTGCCATAAATATATCCACTCTCTCTCCCAGACTCAATTATGTCATGTAGGGGTTTACATGAGGCTGATGTAGCATTGCTGTTGATTTGGGTCCCCCTATAGTCCTGCATAGCCAGGCAATCTGCATTCTTCACACATGCTTGCATTCAAAGTCAGAAATCAGTCCTTGAGCTGTTTCATTTGTTGTTTATTGAGGGGATTTAGAATTGGGATAGGGTAAGGGGGTATAGGATGTCCAAGGGAACCAACAACTAAGCAAAAACTTCCTGGAACTATTCTCAAGCTTCTCTTTCATAGCACAGCCTCTGTTGGAGATCTAGCCAGTGTCTCCTCAATGTGACACCCCAGACCCTAGATGAAATTCTCCTCTTCACCCAGGGGGCTAATCTGGTTTCCTGCCAGAGTGCTCCTTCCCCTATCCACCCAGGGGGTGCTGGTATACTCACTCAGTTCCTCTCCTGTTCATCGTATGGGTTGGCTGCTGCTACCAGGCCTATCAGCTGCGCTGCTACTTCCCTGCCATATAGGTGGTCCTCACTCAGAGGCCAGTGAGTTCCAAATTTTCCTCTTTTCCAGCTCCAGGCTTGCAGTCAGGCCCCATCCCACTAGGCCTACTGGCAGCCTCCTTCCTCACAGCTCTCCGGGGGCACTGCTTGAGGGGGAGGAGTCAGGAGCGCCAGTGGGAACCCAAAAAGAAGTCCTTTAACTGTGAAGTCGGGGAAGGTCAGGCCCAAGTAGCAAAGGAAAACAAAATCAAACACAAAAGACACTTCAACAGCTAAAAGGTAATATGGATTTTTTGGTGTCAGTTTATTAACAGGATTTTTTGCTTATAATACTCTTAAATTGAGTTCAGGTTAACTTTTAATTTTTATTCTTTATTAAATTTCAGATTGAAAAAATTGCAAAAGGAAAGTGCTTAGGTTTGTTTAGGTTTCGCCTGCTTTTTAGGAGTAAGTTATATTTATATTCTGATCCTGAGTTTCATAGCTATAAGTCATAGCTATGTAAGCACGAAACCATCAGAGGTTCCAAGGACCACAGTATTTATTATGAGCTAGAACTGTCTTCACTTGACTTGGATTCAGTCCAGTGGGTTGCAGCACACACAGAGTGTTTTTTAGTAAATGTATATTACAGGTTACATTAGTACAAATATTTTTGGGTAAACAGTGTCCTTTAGTTTACCCACAACGCTTGCCGAAAATGTAACCTGCAATAAAAAAAATTATACTGTATATATGATCAAAAGTTTGTGGACACCTGATCATCACACCTACATTATACAAGTTTGTTAAATATGCCATTCCAAAACCATGAGCATTGACATTCAACTGAACAACACTTTGGAGCTATAACAGGTTCCACTGGAGAGCGTGTCTGTTGGAATTTGATCCACTTAATAAAAAGAGCCCTTGTGAGGTCTAGTACTGATGTTGATCAAGAAGGTCTGGCACGCAATAGGCATTTGAGTATATCCCACAGATTTTCAATAGGGTTGAGGTCAAGGCTCTGCGAAGGCAACTCAAGTTCCTCCACACCATGTTCATCAAACCATATCATGGCACAGTCATGTCCTAAAAACTGTCATCACATGATTGGAAACACACAGTTGTTTAATATTTCTTTGTATGCTCTAATATTAACAAGAACCTTCATTGGAAACGCCTGCACTCAATAATTAGGAGGTTGTGTCACATAATTTTTGCCATATACTGTAGTGTGTGAGATTATCAGGTGTCCACAGACTTTTGATCATATAGTGTATATCCCAGCCCTCAAGATGTTGACATTAGTTAGGTAAAGTTTCTCAATGTTTTGAGAGTTACTGAGAGGTAAATTGGTTTTAAACCCACTTATTTTTAAATAATGTGGTGACAAGCAGGACTTTTATGACAGAAGGGACCCTATCAGTCTCTCCTGCCATAAAGACTTCCTCATGCCTGTCATCTGTCATTTTCACTGAGCCAAGTATGCACAGTTTAGTAAAAGTGCATGGAACCTTATCAGTGCCATGATGATGTGCCTCCCATGCGTGTGCATTCAAGAAGTCGAACAGACAAAACCCGAATTGAAGAGCCAGAGCACTGACATCACAGCCCTGGAGGGCTTCCTTTGGTAGGTAAGTTTGTCCTAATATGTGGTGCCTGTGGTGCCTGGGGGCCACACAGGGGCCTTGTTTTAGTTTACTACCACTTTAACCACCTCCCACCCGCCATATAATAATATGACAGGCGCAAGGTGGTTCTCTCATTCTGGAAGGATGTCATATGACGTCCTCCCATTCTCACTGCGCATGCGCGGCTCAGGGAGCGCACAGCGCGGCGATCAGTAATATGCTGTGTCCCTCGGACACAGCGGATCACTGATCACGGAAAGAGCCGAAGATGTCGGCTCGATCATGTGATCAGATGTGTCCAATCACAGCTGATCACATGTAAACATGGAAATGCCGGTTATCGGCATTTCTCTCCTCTCGAGCTGTCGCACTGACAGCTCGAGAGGGGAGGAGAGACGGTAATTGGCTTTCGGCGTAGGGGACACGTACACCGATCATCAGGGCACTGATGATCAGTGTGCCCTGATGATCTGTGTAGCCCCAGCAGTGCCACCTGTCAGTGTCCATCAGTGCCTTATGTCAGTGCTCATCAGTGCCTCGTGCAAGTGCCCATCAGTGCCACATCAATGCCACATATCAGTGCCTACCAGTGCACATCAATGCCACATATCAGTGCCCATCTGAGCTGCCTTTCAGTGTCACCCATCAGTGCCAGTCAGTGCCAGCTATCAATGCCAATCAGTGCCACCTATCAGTGCTGCCAATCAGTGCCACCTATCAGTGCCAGTCAGTGCTGCCTCTCAGTGCCAGTCAGTCCGTGTGAGTCTTTTCTAAGGTAAATGACTATCATAGCATTATTGACAGAAAACTTCAGAAGGGTGCTGCTTGCATTTGTGACAAATTATTCCACCAGTGTAGTTAATTATGCAAATGAATCACTAAGTTTCAATATCTACCCCATTTTCTGTTTTAATTTTTTGTGCATATCTCCATGTTTCCTGACATATGCATATACATGTACCAGGGCTTAACCTTTCGAGTCTAGACCTACTAGCCAGGCACAAACATTATTCTTCATCAGTTGCCCCACCCAACCTTGCCCAGGTCCACCTACAACCCCACCCCCGGCCCACCCCCAACCCTGCCCCCAACCACGCCCCCTTAAAGCTTATGAAAATACATTTTTCTTTAGAATAAAGAGTCCAAAATATAAAACTGTACACAGTAATGTATATCCCAGCTCCCCTCTACTCCATTATAGTGATATGACATGTATACAGTAATGTATATCCCAGCTCCCCTCTGCTCCATTATAGTGATATGATATGTATACAGTAATGTATATCCCAGCTCCCCTGTACTCCATTATAGTGATATGACATGTATACAGTAATCATTACTGCCTACATGTCATCACTATAATGGAGTACAGGGGAGCTGGGATATACATTACTGTATACATGTCATATCACTATAATGGAGTACAGGGGAGCTGGGATATACATTACTGTATACATGTCATATCACTATAATGGAGTACAGGGGGAGCTGGGATATACATTACTGTATACATGTCATATCACTATAATGGAGTACAGGAGAGCTGGGATATACATTACTGTATACATGTCATCACTATAACGGAGTACAGGGGAGCTGGGATATACATTACTGTATACATGTCATATCACTATAATCGAGTACAGGTACTCATTACTGAGTAATGTATATACCAGCTCCCCTGTACTCCATTATAGTGATATGGCATGTATACAGTACTTACTCCTTGAAGCCCCCGCAACGGTGCAGAGGGTGTCTCCTCTCAGCGGAAGAGAGCGGACCTCTCCTGCACCTGTCCCCTTAGCGGCGGTGCCGAAGAAACCGGAACTCGGCTTCACAATGAGGCTTGGAGCGCAGCCGCTCCATCATCTGTGCTCGCCACTCGCCGCTAGATAATTTCTCCTCGCATTTGGTGAGCGGCTTTTTTAAGCCCTGCATGTACTGTACTTTTTAAACTTTACAACCAGTAATGAATAGACTTTTACTGAAAGTGAAATCAGTTAGACAAAACAATTCTTGAGTTTCTATATACAGGTAAAGCCATTAAAAGGGAAGTATGGGATTTTTTTTTTATAAATTATACTTACCTAGGTGGATTCAGCACTCGCTCGCCCCCCTCCCGTTTCCTGTCTTGCCGGGCTACCTGCTCAGATAAGGGTCTGGTATGGATTTTGGGGGGGAACCCCACGTCATTTTTTTTTTTAAATTTGGCTTAGGGCTTCCCCTCAAAATCCATACCAGACCTGAAGGGCTTAGTATGGATGGGAGGGGGGGGGGGTCCCCACGCCATTTTTTAAAATTATTTTTTAATTGCCATCAATTCTTTTACATTCAGCTGTCAGTGGGAACCCAGCTAACAGCTGAAACATGATGCATGCTTTTCACTACAAAAATTCCGCATGACTTGATCATGATGTGAAAATCATGCAGTATTTTAGTAGCCTTTTTTAGTGAATTCAAATTTTTTTTACAAAAAATGCTATGCGGTATCCTACCGCATACTCAGATATGTCTATTAGGATATTACGTGATATCAATAGGTCTTGCTAACATGTCTTCTAAAAATAAGGTCATCCAGAAGTGAAAAAGCTGAAGAGGTGAACCAAAAGAAAATATGTAAAACTGGTTTACTTAAGAGATTACAGGCCACAATAAAACCACTGGTTGAAGTAGGATCAGCTGCTGGTCAGCAAATATTATGCCTGCCAAAATGTTGTACTATTTCTACCTTTCTACATTTTGGAATGTTAAGTTTGTCTGTGAGTGACCAGGTGACCAAGTAAGCATGTTCAGAAGAAGACCTCTTAGAAACCAGAGAGTGTTAATTGGATGTAACAAATCTACTTCACGTTCACATAAAAGAAACTGTTATCCTATATGCAGATATGCCTTCTCTAACTACTTGATTCCCCAGCATAGTTTTAAAATGGCACAAGGATAGAGGCTATTCATCCCAGTATTGTTCTAAAATGACAACTGGCCAATGCTGGAAACTGGTGCCTGTTTGTGACAGTCCACATCCAGTACCAAGTCGAGGAAGTGAAATGAACAGCTGCTGTTCTGAAACATCCATCATAATACTTCCAAGTGAGAAAGGTAAAGTATGGATACACTTGCACCATATATCACTGTGACCTAACTCAGCCCCTTAGTGTCAATGATCAGAGCCTCTTTGAATAGGACCAATATGCATAGTCATGTTCAACATCAGGAAATGTATAATAAAAACACACAAGGACCTAATCAGAAACTGTATTAGTAGAAGACATCCATCCACCCCATACCTTTTCAAACTTGGTAAAGTAAAGGAACAGAATTATTCAACAAAGATTTCTATGCCACTAGTATTGGTGCAGAGGATTTCTTACATGACAAAATAATCAGCTTCCTAGCATTAAATAACAATAAAGTGAGGAGAGTGCAAATTGCTTTTGTGGTGGCCAGAGGCCTAACCAGACTCGGCAAGCAGACTTCAACCAAAGATGGGATAAAAAAATGAAAGTGACTGATGTAATGCATGCTGGATATGACATGTATACAGTAATCATTACTGTCTACATGTCATCACTATAATGGAGTACAGGGGAGCTGGGATATACATTACTGTATACATGTCATATCACTATAATGGAGTACAGGGGAGCTGGGATATACATTACTGTATACATGTCATATCACTATAATGGAGTACAGGGGAGCTGGGATATACATTACTGTATACATGTCATATCACTATAATGGAGTACAGGAGAGCTGGGATATACATTACTGTATACATGTCATCACTATAACGGAGTACAGGGGAGCTGGGATATACATTACTGTATACATGTCATATCACTATAATCGAGTACAGGTACTCATTACTGAGTAATGTATATACCAGCTCCCCTGTACTCCATTATAGTGATATGGCATGTATACAGTACTTACTCCTTGAAGCCCCCGCAACGGTGCAGAGGGTGTCTCCTCTCAGCGGAGGAGAGCGGACCTCTCCTGCACCTGTCCCCTTAGCGGCGGTGCCGAAGAAACCGGAAACCGGAACTCGGCTTCACAATGAGGCTTGGAGCGCAGCCACTCCATCATCTGTGCTCGCCACTCGCCGCTAGATAATTTCTCCTCGCATTTGGTGAGCGGCTTTTTTAAGCCCTGCATGTACTGTACTTTTTAAACTTTACAACCAGTAATGAATAGACTTTTACTGAAAGTGAAATCAGTTAGACAAAACAATTCTTGAGTTTCTATATACAGGTAAAGCCATTAAAAGGGAAGTATGGGATTTTTTTTTATAAATTATACTTACCTAGGTGGATTCAGCACTCGCTCGCCCCCCTCCCGTTTCCTGTCTTGCCGGGCTACCTGCTCAGATAAGGGTCTGGTATGGATTTTGGGGGGGAACCCCACGTCATTTTTTTTTTTAAATTTGGCTTAGGGCTTCCCCTCAAAATCCATACCAGACCTGAAGGGCTTAGTATGGATGGGAGGGGGGACCCCACGCCATTTTTTAAAATTATTTTTTAATTGCCATCAATTCTTTTACATTCAGCTGTCAGTGGGAACCCAGCTAACAGCTGAAACATGATGCATGCTTTTCACTACAAAAATTCCGCATGACTTGATCATGATGTGAAAATCATGCAGTATTTTAGTAGCCTTTTTTAGTGAATTCAAATTTTTTTTACAAAAAATGCTATGCGGTATCCTACCGCATACTCAGATATGTCTATTAGGATATTACGTGATATCAATAGGTCTTGCTAACATGTCTTCTAAAAATAAGGTCATCCAGAAGTGAAAAAGCTGAAGAGGTGAACCAAAAGAAAATATGTAAAACTGGTTTACTTAAGAGATTACAGGCCACAATAAAACCACTGGTTGAAGTAGGATCAGCTGCTGGTCAGCAAATATTATGCCTGCCAAAATGTTGTACTATTTCTACCTTTCTACATTTTGGAATGTTAAGTTTGTCTGTGAGTGACCAGGTGACCAAGTAAGCATGTTCAGAAGAAGACCTCTTAGAAACCAGAGAGTGTTAATTGGATGTAACAAATCTACTTCACGTTCACATAAAAGAAACTGTTATCCTATATGCAGATATGCCTTCTCTAACTACTTGATTCCCCAGCATAGTTTTAAAATGGCACAAGGATAGAGGCTATTCATCCCAGTATTGTTCTAAAATGACAACTGGCCAATGCTGGAACTGGTGCCTGTTTGTGACAGTCCACATCCAGTACCAAGTCGAGGAAGTGAAATGAACAGCTGCTGTTCTGAAACATCCATCATAATACTTCCAAGTGAGAAAGGTAAAGTATGGATACACTTGCACCATATATCACTGTGACCTAACTCAGCCCCTTAGTGTCAATGATCAGAGCCTCTTTGAATAGGACCAATATGCATAGTCATGTTCAACATCAGGAAATGTATAATAAAAACACACAAGGACCTAATCAGAAACTGTATTAGTAGAAGACATCCATCCACCCCATACCTTTTCAAACTTGGTAAAGTAAAGGAACAGAATTATTCAACAAAGATTTCTATGCCACTAGTATTGGTGCAGAGGATTTCTTACATGACAAAATAATCAGCTTCCTAGCATTAAATAACAATAAAGTGAGGAGAGTGCAAATTGCTTTTGTGGTGGCCAGAGGCCTAACCAGACTCGGCAAGCAGACTTCAACCAAAGATGGGA